GCCCCAGGAGTCCTGACCCCCAGCCCCTCCTCCCTCAGACCCAGGAGTCCAGACCCCCAGCCCCTCCTCCCTCAGACCCAGGGGTCCTGACCCCCAGCCCCTCCTCCCTCAGACCCAGGGGTCCTGACCCCCAGCCCCTCCTCCCTCAGACCCAGAAGTCCGGGCCCCCAGCCCCTCCTCCCTCAGACCCAGGGGTCCTGACCCCCAGCACCTCCTCCCTCAGACCCAGGAGTCTGGGATCCACACTCCGTCCTCCCTAGGACGCTAACCAGACTCCCCGCTCAGGAGGGGCCGGCAGGTGGGGGGAGCCTGTACCTTCATGCACGTGTTGTACAGGGAGATGTAGTTGGTGAAGAGGTCCAGGTAGCGGGCCGTGAACACCACCGCAAACAGGACCTGGCTCTTCCCTGAAATGCCTGCAATCCAGAGAGAGTGGGGGGTAGGCTGGAGGCGGGCCGCCTGGGGGAATAAACCAAGGCCCAGCGGCTCGGGAGGGCGGCTGTCCCCGGGGGCCTCCCCAGCCCTCCCCGCCGGAGCAGGGCCCTTTCCCACGGCCCGCAGCCAGGGGGCAGCCCGGCCCCGAAGCTACTCCAGCCCGAGGCTCTGTCCCAGGCTAGGCCTCATGGCCACTCCCGGCCCCCTCGGGGTCCTCCCACAGCCCGGGCGCCAGGTGGGGCCTCCGAGGCACCCCACTTGACCTCAGCCCCCCTGGAACCGGTCGCCGCTTTCCCGCTCCCCTCCTGGACGCCACGGTCCACGTCACCAACTCCCAGCCACCTCCCTGCCTGCCACCACTCCCCGTTCCCAGCCCCGAAACCCCGGGGCCACCGGAGAAGGGCCAGGGGAGGCTGAATGGGGCGCCTGGAGCCACCCCCGCCGAACTGCATGCACCCCTAGTCTGGGGAAGGGAGCTGACCCCCCGGTGACCCCGGACCTGGAAGGGGGATCCCCAGCAAGCCGTTGTGGGGAGGAGGGGGGAAGAGACCCGTCCCCCTAGTGCCTCCAAACCCTGCCCCGAGTCGTGGGGTGTCCCCCGCCCTCTCCCCCCTTCTCCCGCCCCGGTGGGCGTCTCACCGGCACACGAGCGGGACTTCCAGATTTTGAGCAGTAGCAAGATGATGGCTAGGAGGTGGGAGAGGTCTCCCAGGAATCGGAAGAGATTCATGCTTTGGGGGGGTCTGGCAGGGCTGGGCAGGAGGGAGGCGGGCTGGAGGGGGGCTGCCCCCCGGGACTGTTGTTCTGGTCGGGTGGCTGGGCTGGGGGGCGGGAGCGGGGGCCCTCGGGTGGGCTCCGCTCCGGGGAGGGGGGCTCTGGGAGGGGGAGCCGAGGCCGGAGCTGGAGGCCGAGCAGGAGCTGGGAAGAGGGAGGCGGGCGGGAGGGGGAGGAGTCAGGAGGGAGGCTCCGCCCCCGAGGGCGGAGTTCCGGCTCTCGGGCGCCCCCTACCCGGTGCCTCCCGGCTTGCAGAATGGGCGCTAAAGGCACCCCAAAGGCTGCCTGCTAGGGATTTGCGGGGTCCCTGGGATCTGGAACTCCCAAATCGGCATCCTCCAGGCAGTCTGTGCCTCTGCGAGGGTGGCAGCTCGGCTTCCCGGCCTCTGCCATTGTCAGCGATTCCGGAGGGCGGTCTGTGAGCTTTCAAACTCCCAGACAAGGACCCCTACGCTGGCCTTTTCAGGGACTTCCAGCTCCAACGCACCTAAAAGACAAGATAGCAGCCCCCTCCCCTCCCTCAGACCCAAGAGCCCCCCTCCTCCACTTCCTTGAGGCTTAGTGTCCCACCTCCACAGACTTGTGTCTCAAGCATGCCAGCCCGGGGAACCGAGATGCACCATCCCTTCCTCCCTCCGGGACCCACAGATTCAGGCCCCCCAGTCTCTACTCTTTCAAGAATGTGAGCCTTCACCCCTGCTCTCCCAGACCCTGGAGCCAGCAGCCCACAGCCCTGCACCACCCACCCCCTCTCCCCACTGGCATCTCTACACACTCCTGGGTCTGCCTGCAGGAGCCCAGGACACTCCCCACACACACACACACACAACACTTTAGGGAACGCTGGGCACGAGGGGCAGGGGCAGGGCAGCTGGGGGGCCCTCCGGGGGCCAGGCTGTGTCTAGGAAGAAGTGGACACTACTTTCGTCCTGGATGTTTGAGTACCCATGGGTGACGGAGGCCAGGGTGCCTCAATAAAAGAAGGGGTATTGGATTCCTCAGAGGGGTGGATGGATTGGGTGTCTGAGGGTGACATCCATGAATCCTGGACACGGGGCGCCCCTGAGGATGGTCTGTGCTGGGGGCGGGGGGTCAGGTTATCTGAGTGCCTAAAAGGGACCGGGCCTGCAGGAGGGGCCCAGAGGCCTGGACTCCTGGGCCTGAGAGAGGAGGAGGGACTGGGGGCCTGGACTTGAGGGTCTGAGGGAAGACGGGTCCGGGGACTTGAATTTCTGGATCCGAGAGAGGAGGGGGCTGGGAGCCTGGACTCCTGGCTTCCTGAGGGAGACCTAGTTTGCAAGCCTGGCCTTCTGGGGCAACAGAAGCCAAAAGATGGGTCCTACAATGGCGGTGACTGAAGCCTAGGAATGGCCTCCTGCTTCTCAAGGCTCAAAGTGGGAGGGGGCAGAGGGCAGCAGCCCCCAGGCCCTGGAGTCCAGGTCCAAAGCTGCTGTGTCAATGCTGGGTTCTGAGCTCTGCCCGCGCCCCCCCCAACACACACTTCCTCCCTTTTTATTTGCGACCCCTCATTCTCATGTCCCAGGAGGAAGGCAGGGGCCTCGGAGCTGGGGGCGGGGGGACTAGGCCCCCTCCCCCAGCCCTGGCAGGAGGAAGGGTCCCCAGGGAGGCCAAGAGGGGGGGCTGTGGGTCTCCCGGCAGGGGCGGACGGGGACTGAATGTTAATCGCATCCCGAGTGAGTGTGTGTGTGCGAGAACAGAGCGAGTGTGCGAGTCCCTCCCGCTCCAGCTCCTCCAAGCAGCGGCTGCCGCCGCCACCCTCCGCCCGCAGCCGCCCTCGGCCACCGGTGCCCAGCTGGGGGGTGTCGGCCTGGGTGGGTCCGCCCGGCCCCCAGGGGTCTCTCGCGCAGCGCCCATCTGCCCGGTGAGGATCTGTGTGTCAGGGTGTCTGGGGCTGGGCTGGCGAAGGGGGGGTGTGTCTGTAAGGGCTGCGGCGGCCCGGGTAGGGAGGGAGGGCTCTGTCTGTCTGTATCGACTCCGAGCCTCCTGCCTGGGTGTCGCGGGCCCCCCAGGTGCCTCCCCCCGGCCCCCTCCCACCCTGGATGGATGGTGTGTACCTGGGCTCTGTGCCTCCTGCCTGCGTCCGGCCGGGCGTCTGGCGTCCCCAGCTGCCTGTGTCCTCCTGTCTGTCCGAACAGCCCCGGACGGCAGTGGCAGCCCGGCGCCCATTGGACCCCCCCTGTGTGCGTGTGTGTCTCCCCACTCAAGCTCCGGGGGTGTTGAGGGGGAATCCCAGGGAAGTGAGGTCGTGCGTGTGTGCGTGTGTGTATGTGTGTGTTTCTGCCCGGGTTTGAGTGGGGGGGTGCTGGGGGGGGTCTGGAGGTGGCCAGGCAAGGAAGGGGCGAGCAGCTCCCCAGACAGGCAGCCTCCCGCCCCTCACACAAACACACACACCCCAGCCACCGGCTTCAGAGGTGACCCAGACAGACAGACAGACACAGACGCTGGAGGGGGGGCGCTGAGGGCACAAAGGGTGGGGGTGCGAATGAGCCAGGGAGAGGCGGGACTGGACACATGGAAGGGGGGAGGAGCCGGGGCTGAAGCGGCGGAGGGGGGCACCCCAGGTGGGCGGAGGGGGGGATCCCCACGGGGTCGGGGCGGCGAGAGGACACCCCCGACAGCCTCCGCAATGTCCGGGGCCCAACTTCCAGCGCAACATGTGTAGCGGCGTCCTCGCCTAGTTGGGGTGGCCGCAACCTTGGGGGACAGACAGGGCAGGACGGGACCGAAGACGAGGAGGGAGAGCCAGCCGGAGCCAGGGACAGGCAGGAGGTCCCCACCGCCGCCGCCGCCGCCGCCGCCACCGCCGCCGCTGCCGCCGCCGCCGCCACCGCCGCCCCAGGGCCTGGGCCCCCAGCGGCTCCCTGAGCCCTCCGTGGAATCTTCGGGTCGCTGGCCTCTGGGTTCCAGTCCTGCCCCCCCGCAATACCCCCCACAGAACAGGGTCATGAAAAGGTAAGGCCCGGGGTAGGGGATGCAGGGGTGGGGGTGGGAGCGCGGACCCCCAGATCTAGGACAGGGAAAGTTGGCCAGGGGCCTCCAGGAAGGAGGGGGATTGAATGGTGAGCAGGGTCTTAGCCCCTCCCCAGCTCCCTTGTCTCCTGGGGACTCTCCTCCGCCCCCTCTCTTTCTCCCTCTCTGAGCCCCTTTTTCCTGGGTCTCTACACCTCAGACCTCCTAATCCCCCATTTCTCTGACACTTCACACCCTCTGCCCAGCCCCGCATACCTGACACCCCGTATCTCTCTGTCCCCCATCTCTCCACCCCTGCTTCCCTCTGCATCCCCCTGCCCGCATCGGCCTCCCCCCTCACTGGCCGTCCCTCTCCCTCTCTCCTCTCGCTCTCCCCTCCCTTCTCAGAGCTATGAGTCTGCTATTAATACCCCCGCCAAGGACCTTGAGGGCATCCAGGCCCTGAGCACCCCTAGCCCCAGGCTGCCACCCCTTCCTCAAGGTTCTGGAATACCCTTCCAGCCTGTTCTGAGCACCAGGATTAGGGTGGGGAGACAATGTTGGAGGTGGGGGGGAACGGGCTGCCGTCTGCAGCACGACGCGAGGTGGGGGGGTGGACTGTTGATCGAAGTGGCCTCTCCTCTCTTCTGTGATGGATTGGGGGGGAGTGCTGGAGACAGGGACACCCCAGGAATCTCTGGCACCCTCCTCCTCCTCAGCTGGGGGACAGCCTGTGCTGTACACAGGACCTGAGTGGGGCGACAGGAGGCTGGAGCTGGCGGGGGCTATTCGGGGGGGGGGGTCCCAGGATGTTGGGACTGACAGGGTTTGAGACAGAAAGTGGGTCCTTAAGGGAGAAGAGAGCTACGGGCCTGGACTCCGGGGTTCTGGGCAGAGAGGAGGCTGGGTGCCCAGTTTGGGGGCAGGAGGGGGCAGGACTCCTGGGTCCTGGCAGAAGGCAGAACTGAGCACCTGGGCTCCTGGGTCCTGGGGATGGAAGGTGCCGAGAGCCAAGACTCTTGAGTCTTTATAGGAGAAGTTAGAGCTTCTGAGTCTGAAGGATGAGGGGGCTGGGGGCTCAGTCTCCTGAGTCTCTGATGGGGCAGGGGAGGAGGGTCTGGCTCTTTGGACCAATGGGAATGGATCTGGGGACTGAGATTTAGGAGGTGGACCTTGGGGGCCTGGGCAATGGGGTCCCTGAAGGCATAGGTTCTGGACAGGGCCTCCAGAAGACCCCAGCAGCTGGGGGTGCCCCGTCTCAGACCCTGGAGGGGTGGGACACTGCCCTCCCCGATGGCGGACTGGGCAGTCAGCTTCCTGAAGGGTGGGGCTGGAGCTGTCCTCCTGGACCTCAGCGGGGAGCAGGACCCTGAGGTCCCCAAGGACCGAGGCCAAGCAGGGGTGGGTCTGAGGCAGAGGAGAGTCGGAGGGGGAAAGGAGGAGAGAGCCAGTGTTAACCCCGCGGGGGCCAGGCCACAGCTGTGGGTTATTTTGGGGTGGGGGGGGCTATTCTGAGCGCTGATTGAGCCAGCTGCTTGGGGAAGGGCAGAGAAGAGGAGGGGCGGGGGGGGGAGAGCCAGGATTTGGGAGGGACGGGCATACTAGGAGTCCCCACCCCCATCCCTGGGGTGACAGTGGCCCAGGATCCCTGGGAAGGCAGGTGGAGGAGGGAGGAGCAAGGCCTCTAGGCAAGGGAGGGGGTGTGGGCCTTTCCCCCACCCTGGTGATCTGTGGGGTAGTGGAGGCCTGCGCTACCATGGCAACTGGACAGGAGCCTGATTGACAGCCAAGAGTGAACTCCTCCCTGTCTGGACCCCCTCACCCCTTCAGGAAGCCCCTAGGGCAGACTGTCTCTGGGAACCAGGAGTTCGGACCCCAGTGCCCTCCTCCTTCAGACCCAGGAGCCAGGAGTCTGGGCTCCCAGCCCGACCACCCCAGGCGGCTAGTATTCAACAGGGGACACAGGAAGAGATGCTGTATTTCCTCTCATTTACTAAATTGCTCTGGGCTGGGAGCCAGGGACCCCTGCCTCCCCACCCCAGCCCTCCACAGCTGTGCCCCCCAACCCTGCAACCCAGCCTGGGCTGTGACTATCTAGCTCCCATTGAGAACGGGGGTGTGTGTGTGGGGGGAGAGAGACAGGGACAGGAGTAAGGGGACAAAAACAGGTTGGGGGTTGTGGTCAAGGTGGGGGGTAAGGTCCA